CCATGTTTGCTTGTGTTAATGTCCGTCTCCGCTCTCCGCGCTCGGTCTACCTCAAAACGAGAAATGTCTATTAGAACGTGCCCGTACTGGTTCTGTCGGCTTTGTTTTCTCCGTCCCTTACCTGGCGTCTTACATTTCCATATTCGTCGTAGTTCGGTTGGACTTCGAGGTGTATGCGGTATCTATTTTTAGAAACTTACCTGTGTTTCCTTCCGGCTTCGCTCTGGCAAGCATGCCTGCTTACGTATTGTCAGCTTTCCTTGTTCTTTTTCCTAAACCTTTATTTTGATTTATCCTTTTCACTTTATAATAAACACTCCTAATGGCTACACCAAATAAATTAAATATTTTATCTATTAATTGTAATGGTCTATCCGATAAGCGTAAATATTTTCAATTACGTGATTTTATCAGAAATAATAATATACATGCTGTTTTACTTCAGGAGACTCATATGTGATCTCACTGAGGGAAAACAACTCGAGTGTTATTTGAATTGTAAAGCGTTTTGGAATTTCGGTTCTAGAAATAGTAGAGGTACTGCCATTCTATTTTTATTGATGTAAATGTAAATTGTTTTCATTTTGATTTACTGGGCCGTTTAGTATTTGTCGATTTTCGGTTTTAAGATAATGATTTCAGAATTAATAATGTGTATGCTCCCAATAACGACAGCGAGAGGAAATCCTTTTTTCATGATTTGGCCCCTTTTTTTGGTATCTAAAAAAACTATAGTACTCGCTGGAGATTTTTATTGTGTCATTAATTCCAAATTAGATAAAGTAGGTGGTAATCCTGACCGCGGTCTAATAGGGTCAGATGTTCTGCGCGATTTGTGCAATGATTTTAATGTTTTTGATGTTTTTCGTTTGTTATATCCTAAAATAATCAGTACCACCTGGCATAGCTCTAAAGTTTCTTGTCGGCTTGATCGCTTTTATATATCAAGTACCTTAAAAACGTCGGTGGTTGAGTGTAGACATTTTCCTTCTGGTTTTTCTGATCATGATTTTGTAGTTTTAACTATAGACATTCCGTCTGATAGCCTACACGGACCATCATACTGGAAGTTAAATAATAGTATTTTAGCTGACAGGGCTTTCCAGCTGTCTTTTAAAAATCTTTGGGAAGATCTGGTATCTGAAAGATGTATTGATTTAGAAGTTTGGGACGATACCAAATCTATTATTAAATTCTTCATTATTGAATATTGCAAAAAAAAGGCCAAGGTGAGGCGGAATGTTTTAAAACTTTTGGAAAAAAAAATATAGGAATTTGTGTAAATTAGATAATCAATCTCCTGGTGATTTTATAGACCAGGTTGTCAATATTAAGAAACAAATAGATTGTTTCCATATGGATAATTTTAATGGCGCAAAGATCAGATCTTGGGCAAACTTTTTGGACCTTTCGGAAAAACCGTCCAGGTATTTTTTTAAGCGTGAATACGATCGTGCCAAAAAGAAATTAATTACCAAAACTGATATTGATGAGACCTCCTCGGTGTTTTCTTCTACTGGAATTTTAGATGCTTTTCGATCCTTTTATGAAAAATTGTTTACTGAGGAGGAAATAGATACTGATCTGGCTGGCACGTTTTTAGATGGTTTACCAAATTTAAGTATATTATAACAAATTCCTTGTGAAGGTAGAATACGAAAACAAGAAATTCTTAAGGCCTTAAAAGGCATGGCAAATAACAAATAACCAAATAATTTTATTTAACCTTTTTTAACATTCTTTCGGACCATTTGGTTGTTGTTTATAATGATATTTTTGAGCAAGGTGAACTTTCGGACAGTCAAAAACTTTCTTATATTACTTTATTATGTAAAGACCCGAAAAACTCTACTAATTTAAAGAACTGGCGCCCTATATCCCTATTGAATATTGATTATAAAATTATATCTAAAGTATTAACTAACAGAATTAATAGTGTTATGTCTTTATTGGTTCACCCTGATCAGACTTGTGCTGTGAAGGGTAGAACTATTTTTGATAATTGTCATTTGTTGAGAAATATTAATGACTATGCTAACCAGAAATATCTTAAATGTGCTTTTGTTAGTCTTGACCAAGAGAAAGCTTTTGATAGAGTAAACTACAATTTTTTGTTTAATGTTCTCTCTACGTACAATTTTGGCCCAGATTTGTTACCATGTGTTAAAATTTTGTACACTGATATTTCTTCTTCTGATATAGTTCACGGTCATATTTCGGATAAGTTTCCCATCACTTGTGGTGCGCGGCAAGGCTGTTGTCTATCCCCATTGTTATATGTCCTCGTTTTGGAACCGTTCGCCAAAAAAGTAAGAGACGATCTAGATATTATTGGCATTAAACTACCGGGTCATTCGGACTCTGCAAAAATCTCCCTTTATGCCGACGACAGTACTGGTATATGTTGTTCCGATCCTTCTATCAAAAAGTTGCTTTATTGGTGTGTTTTATATGGCAGAGGATCTGGTGCAAAGTTAAATAAATTGAAATCTAAGGGTATTTGGCTTGGGAAATGGAAAGAACGTCCTGATCATCCTTTCGGCATTAGTTGGGTCAAAAAGCATAAAATTGTGGGGATTATTTTTGGTAATGGAGTGACACCAGATGACATTTGGCAGCCCATTTTTATCAAATTTACCAAAACTTTGAATTCGTGGAAATCTCGTAAATTATCGTTAAATAAAAAATGTATGGTAGTCAATGTTTTGGCTTGTAGCAAAATTTGGTATGTCGGTACTGTGGTTACAATGCCTAGGCATTATTTGAAACTTTTCCAAAAAACTTTATATACTTTTCTCTGGTCCTGTAAATCTGAGCCTTTAGCGCGCTCGACAGCCGTGCAGGGCCCCATTTGTGGTGGTCTTTCCATCGTCGATATTAAATGTAAGTTACAGTCCCTTTTGTTACAGGAATGTCAGAAAGTGATTTGCAATTATAAAGCTAAATGGGTATATTTTTGTATTTATTGGAGCGGGTTATCGTTCAGAGATTATAACTCTGCTCTGGCGAGAAACTCTATTCCTCACAGTGACCATGTTCCGTCGTTTTATACTTTTGTGTAATTTCAATGTTCCATGCATTCATGGCTATTATAAAACTTTGACTTTTGGTAAGGTATCAACTAAAGAACTGTATTTTCTGTCAGTAAAAAGTATTTCTAAGACCCCGAAAAATGTATCTGTATTTCCTTCTATTAATTTTGAAGGGTTTTTAAGGTATGTACACAATAAGTTTTTAGACACTAATGCTAGAGACGTTGTTTTTAGAATTGTACATGAAATTATTACAGTAAACTATTGCATGTGTAGGATCGGTGTGTAAAAATGTAAGAAATGTTCTTTGTGTTGTAAAGACATAGAAACAATCAGTCATCTATTTTACGAGTCTGTTTTATTATTGTTCGCGCCAGGTGTTACGTACATCAGTAGATTTGGGCTGTTTGTATCATGTTGCATATAAGTTGTCATTGTTTATAGATGTCATTGTATCATTGTGTAAACAAGTGGCAGTAGGGTTTTCCTCTATTTGCTTTTATTTGTATATATTAATAAACTTTTATGCAAAAAAAAAGTATGTGTTCATATCAGCTTCATATATGTTCAAATCAAGTAAATTTTATTTAACGTCGATATAATTACAAAGAAAACATAAGCTCGTTTAGTGAGCTTTTACAATCGACATAATAAATAAAACATACATAAAACAATGTTTCATTAATTTAACAAGATATGTTCATGCTGTAAAAGATACAGGTATAGGACAACGCTTATCTTAGAGTTGTACCCAGTGACAGGCTGAAGTGGACCACACACATAAAAAAATATCAAACCGTTCAAATTCCATCATTGGATTCATCCGCCGAAACTTCAAGTACTGTTCCAACCCCCTTAAAGAATTACACTTGTCAGATCTATAGTCGACTATGCTTCTGTTGTATGGGATCCATACCAGAAAAGGGGCATAGACCGTCTAGAAGGGATACAGCGACGTGCTGCCCGCTTTGTATGCAATTATTACAGCAGATACAGTAGCGTATCCAAAATGATGGAGGAACTTAAATGGCAACCTCTATCCGAACGCAGACGAGACCAGCGTTTAGTGTTACTTTACAAAAAAGTTCACGGCCTCGTGGCCATACCCGCTGACTCGCTATTCCAGTTTAATTCCAGACCATCTCCATCTAGAACACAGCACAGTAAATCCATCAAAGTGCTTAGTTGTAACACCGACAAACATTGTATATAAAAATTCATTTGTACCAGCACGGAATTAGATTATCTAAGTCCGTGGTACCAGCACCATAAAAGACTGGAATGCACTACCATCGCGCATAATCAACTGTAAAACTACGGAACAGTTTAAGCACAGGGGCACGTTACAAATGTCTGAAATGCACACATATGCTCTTCTGATATGGGTCACAACACATTTAAACATACATATCAGTAAAGCATATGTGTGTATTTCAGACATTTGTAACGTGCCCCTGTGGTTTAAGGCCACTATTGCTACCAAAATTGACTAGGATTGATATAGCGCATTCACTCACCCTGGATGAACTTTGCTCAGTGGTGAGCTAATTTCCAGTGCAAATACAGATCTACAGATACAAATAGAGAGGAAGCTTTCTTTAAAACATATTTAAATTTAAATAAATAAGAACAATGATAACATTTAATGCGGTAAAAGTGGCATGTTACATTTATCACATTTTGACTTTCATTTATTATTTTATCACATTTGCTTATAATTATTGATTATGAGATGTTTACATATAATAAAGCATTTAAAGCATATCTATAACACACCGGGGAACATAAGGCCATTTCTGACCTTTGGTGCGTGTTTTCCCAGTACATTATTTATGTATAACCTTCCATTGATGTACACGTATTTCTGACATCCACGTGCTTTCTCAAAACAAAGTTCTATATATAGATAACTAATATTAACCAATCAAATTATCTCTTTCATATGCTACTCGGTAACCCATTTCCGGCAAAATATTGAAAGATGTTGGTCATGCTGTTTTCAACTTTAAATTAGACCCGGGAGGTAGGATATATAGTTCGTAAGATTTACTGAGCGTATTTATTGTACTGAATATATGCATAATCACGCCAAAAAAATCAACGGTTTGTTTCATTTAATAACCAGATTACAATCGAAAGTAAACTGATGAAGACTCGGTTTTGACGGCTACAGTAGGCCTCCTTCATTCACATGAGAAACTAATCTCATAGGCTTAGTATGGAGCGATGTCTGTTCCTTTGCACATGTACGGATTAAACATGATGATATAATATAGATGCAAGATAAAATAATGGCAAATGTTATGAACTTTAGAAGACTCGACAACTAAATACTAGGTTAAAACTGAATTAAAAATGGGCGTGTGGGTGTCAACAGCACACGGCAGGACAGTGATTTATAGTTCTGTAGCCCGACTTTCCTCTGGCCCTGACACCAGACTTAGAAATTTTGACAGACCGATGTCTGGTGTGGGGCCAGAGCGCACTGCTATATATATGAAAACGTAGAATTATCTGACATCGTCATGGGAATGACCAATCAACAGGCCGTACTGATCCGGACCGAAAACGGAATATATCATTCTATGTTTAGAAGATATCTCACACCATTTTTGTTGATTATTCACACCCATGACCTAAAAAAATGACGTTTGCTCAGGTGGGAAATTTTTGATCGATTGAAAACAAAGGACTCTACTGACGGAATTTAGCAAGTGATAATAAGATCGGATTTGGATCAATAAATAATCCATTTATCGATAGAAGTGAGGGATGTTTTGTGTATAGTCGATTTCTGTTATCAGAACCTCAAAATTCTCTGACACCAAACAGTGACGGATAATTCCACATTTTCATATAGCAGTGCGATCTGGCCCCACACCAGACATATGTCTGTCAAAATGTCTAAGTCTGGTGTCGGGGTCAGAGGAAAGTCGGGCTACATTTTGCTGTGAAGGATATGCGATGCAGGAAAAAATCTTTGCACCAAGCCAGGCAATGGTTTTAAAAGTGTGGTTATATCCATGATGTATGGTACAGATGACACGAAAGTTCATTTAATGCAGGGTTGATGGTATGTGTTATTTTTCATACTACATGTACCATATTATTATGAACATTTTCTTGTTACACAACCAATGAGAGTTTCTATGTGACGATTCGACGACTAGCATGGCATTTACTGTCACCTTCATCAGATAAATGACCAGTGAAGCGTATGTACACAAAAGTATAAAAAATGTACAAGTTGTCCAAGAAAATTGATGTCGATTCGGCTATGTTATAAGCATATGTACAATAGTTATATATGTACCAAATTGACTCAATTCAGCTACGCATTGTTTAACACTTGCTCATAGATGTGCTAGAGTCTTTGAGCCCCCTTGTCTCTATTTAGAACTGGCCCACTGTGGCGTATCCAGATGGCTTCCTTTATCTGCTGCTTGAACAGATTGCTCTCTCTACATGTCCAATACTTTGGAGTTATCCCAGTCAATCACATGATTTTTCTGTGTGGCATGGTCTGTAATTGCTGATTTATTTATCTGGGACTCCGACCGTTGACCAAGTATTAAACAAAGTGTAGCTGAATCGAGTCAATTCAGTACACATATGAAAAATATTGTACATACGCTAACAGCGTAGTGGATTCAACACAACTCATACACATTTTACACCTTTGTGTTACATATGCTTCACTGGTCATTTGTCTGGTGAAGGTGACATGCTGTACTAGTCATTGAAACGTTGCATAGAAACACTTACTGGTTGTGTAACGAGAACATTTTCATAATCCATACTTACCAACCCGAAGAAAAAGTTTAGAAACATGTATATTTTATTTTATCAGATTATAATTTGTGCTTTTTTCCCTTTTTTGGCAGGAGGAACACAGTAATGTCGGACATGTTCACCTGCTGTGTGTGTGGCAGTGTCAGCTACGCTATCCTGGATTTTCTCAATCACAAAGCACAACGTGAGTATCTTGATGTTAACAGCTTTAGTACACAAGTAATGGCCTATTTGTTGTTTAGAAGTACACTAGTAGTATTCTATATTTGACAAGTTACTGATATTTTCTTCCATATGTTACATTTGTGTTGAAATTTGATGATTAATTAACCTGTGATCAATCAATAATAGTTTTAAAAAATACCTGGGACTCCAAGTGCAGTAATGGGTAATATTATTGGTAATATATATCTAAGAAGAAGGTAGGCTTGGAATCATGAATCATTCTGTTGAAAACTCAATTATTTTGACTAAAATTGATCATGAATTCTGTAGTCGTTTAATTAGCTTATTGGCCTAACTGACCAAAAAGTCAACAAAGTTGATTAATTGAAACATCACTACTATTCGTTACAAACAAATGGTGTCTTTATTGTTTATATATAATATATGGTGTTGAGTACTAAGCTTTTCTATTAGATGAGAGGTTGAACTTTGATCCAACTGTGATCTTTGACCTTGAACTGGCTACTAGTCGCCTGCTCGATCAAGTGCTATTTTGTTGATTTATTTTAGATATTTTTGTTTGTTAATTAATCAGAGTGTCAACCCACTGTTTCCCTATACATTGGGGTATATTTCAGGTAGAGTGTTTTTAGTTGATGTTAATGTTTCAGTAGAGATGAATTGACCGAGCGATGAATATGAATTCATCAAGGTGCTTTATATCTGAATATAATAGAGTTACTGCTGCAGAAATTTGAAGTTAAATGATAATTCAATATAATGAACACAATACATAAATATGGAATTCCACTGCATGGGTTATTTCCTCATCATTTTTTTAAAAGATGTTTTGAATTGCTAAATATTGATAATGTTTGTTCGTATTTGTATAGAATAAAACATGCACAATAGATACTATTACACTGTTATAAATCTATAGAAAAGCTTTCATATGTACATATGGTTATAGAGTTTGGTTTCCATTCTTCAGATGCAGCCCCAGGTGCAGGTATACACTGTGAATTCTGTCAGATATCGTACGCTAGATATATCACACTGAAGGAGCACTATCGTACCAAACACAAGATTGTGTTCTCTGACGAAGGCAGTCAAAACAGGTTAGCTAGAAGTCGCCAGTACAAGCGCAGGAAAAAGACAGACAGTGAACAAATTCAGTTAGTGGCAGAAAACATTGATCAAGTTTCACGAGTGGAAGATGGTTTTGTTGTCATGGAAAAGAAGTCAGATTTTGATGACATTGTCAACAACATGGAACACACCTCACAGCAAATCACCAACATGCAGGATATCACTGAGAAGAGTTCTGGTCTTAATATCGTACCCACTGGTGAAGGACTGGTGTCTACAGCTGTAATCATCATGACGAGTCATAACGAAAATATCATCCCTAATAAAGGTTTGGATACTCATCCCATCTCACATCTTTTAGAGTCCAGTACAGATGCAAACTTCAATTCGTCAGCACTATCCTGTGACATGCCTCCTTCAGGGACGGATATAGTGGAAGCACGCTTAGTACAGGGACCAAATCATCCTCACGACCATGAAGAGTTCTTATTCAATGATCAAAATGCAGTACATGTAGTGATGGAGAGAAGTAATCACGACAGCATGATGACAAATGGAATCTGTTCTCTTATGACGACATCAGACATCCAAGATAAAAGCTCTGGGTTGTCCCAAGGCTATGATGACTTTAACATGACTGCAGGAAATGTTCAACTACCCTATGGTATGCAGCACCCTGGAGATTTATGTGAGCTAGAACAGATGGATAATGATTCTTCTGTCCATGTGATCGTGGAGAAAAGTGACTCGCTGAGTAATCACCCCTTGGTCAGCAATGGTGAGTTAATGAATCTGTGTAGTGGGGACAGCAATGGAAACCTCATCTCACATCAGCTAGATCAGACAGAGACTGAACTCATGTCTGGCACTCCTTTACTAGACAAATCAGTAACAGACGACTTCCACTTCATACTGTTGACAGATTTAGTGGAGGGTAGCTCTATTACATACGGTAAACAGGCGTTCCGGTGTCTGCACTGTGAGTTCCAGAGTTGTTGGAAGAGTGGACTGTGTCGACACATGCGAGAGGAACACCCGGAGACGCTGTCTCTCCATCAAGCCATTCAGATAAAAACAGCACACACAGACAGCAATAGAACAGTGATGAAAATGTCGGAGTATACAGCCATGCAGGTGATGTGGAAAAACAAGACCGCTCATCCACGGTCACGTGGTGTGGAGAAACAGGATCTTCCAGGTAACTTCACCTGTCCAAAGTGTGACAAAGTGTTCAATAGACTGCGATATTTGAGGAAGCATCAGATTGTTCACCGTACCGACCAGAAATTTCTCTGCGATGAATGTGGAAAAGCGTTCAAAACAAGAGCATATTTAAATCAACATAGGAAAATTCACAAAAAGGAAGCATATAATTGTAACCAGTGTGACTTCACTTCCTCCATAAACACAGTGATCCACGAACACAGACAGATCCACAACAAGGGGTGTGTGCTGTGTGATGTATGTGGCACAGCCTACTTTGACAAATCTACTCTTGCCAAACACAAATCTGTTCATGACATGAGTCGTCCATTTCCCTGTACATACCCAGGATGCACCTGGCGCTTCAGAAATGAGGTAATGTGTCGTGCACATATTAGGAATCACACAACAAAAGGTAAATTCAAGTGCACAATCTGTGGCTATGTTTTTAGACATAAACATCACCTGCAGAGACATGAGGAGAAAATGCATGGCATAGTGATTCCAAAAACATGGTCAAAGAAAAATGTAGAGGAAACAAAGTTGGACACGGTTGAAGAAATAACAGACACGGTCAATCTTATTGTAGACCCAGATATTAGCTCTGATCATCTGAATCTCCAAAATGCTTTGCACACGAACCAGCTAGTGATTGCCACAGACAGTGAGGGGAACACAATTAACTATGAAGTGGCAGATATCGCAATGAATGTGGCTTACCAGACACTACTGGCGGGGACAGATGGACAATCAGTGGACACTCACACCATCCTCATACCTCACCAGTCCAACGACTGTAGCCACATCGTACTACAGCAGGAGACAGAATCTATCACAGAAACTGTGCAATAGTCAAACCATGCTAAGAGATTCAATGTATCTTGCCCTAGAAACTAAATTAATTTTGTTTAAGAAAGTCTGAAACTAAATTAATTCTTGTTTTAAAAACTAATAATTGATATTGATTACAAACTTAAAAACAAAATATTGTTTTAAAAACTGAATTTACCAGTATATTGTTTGATTAATCTTGTTTCTAATACAGATAATGTATACAGATTTATTTTTGTTTTAGAAATTGAATTAATATTCATAAACAAAATTACCAGACCTTAATACTTTTTCCTAAACGCTACATTGATCTGTGTTTAAAACTAAAGTAATGTTGTTTCAGAAATTAAAATTAAATTATAACTTTGATAACTCTATAGCTATAGACTCATGACATGTAAGGTCCTAATAACAAAGTAATTATTCAGCATTCATATATATTTGGATTGTCAAAGATCGCAGGTTTGAGACCTATGTGGGCATGCACAGTTGCCAGGTACTGGCTGTAGGTCGGTGTTTTTTTCTCCAGGAACTCCAGCTTTCCTCCACCACCAAAACCTGGCACATCCTTAAATCAATGTAGTTGTTAATAGGAATTAAAACACAAACAAACAAAAGTCAAAGATAACTTTCAAGCAAAAAGCAATTAAAAACTCATATCTGAAAAAAATTGTGTGTCAGGCTAACACAACTTGACATTACTGGTTTCTTGCATTAAATCATTGTTATAAATGTTTTTGTCACTAATTTAGTATTCCTACCAGTATCAATACATGTCACATTGTGTGATGAGTGTATGGAACAGTTAACCCGCCATGCATACAGGTTGAAAATGAAGCAGGGCTAGAAATTAATAACGTGATGCAATCATTGGTGTTTCAGACAGATACCAATATTATTACAAACTTGATACTGACTTTGATTTCAGTCCCTATAAATCAGCATAACAGAGTCTAAACCTAAGTGTATTGCATCCAGAACTCAGTTGTATTGCAGTATGTATACACATGGTGCAGTTAGGAATAAACTGAAAGCATATGTGCAACCTATTTTTACTGATTTTGTTGTTTCAAATGTAAATCAATCTGTACTATAGCTAGAACATGTTCTTCCAGAATCAATATATAAATTTGATCTAAAACCTTCAATTGATATTTTAATGACATAATCCAATCAAAGCACTGTATCCTATTACTGTATTTATCCAGCAATAAGCCCATCCATTTCTATAACAGTTCAGTAGAAATGGCATATACACCCACTTTACTTTCAAAATTAAAAGTCAAAGATTATGTGTTGGACCTATGGGCTTTTTGCAGGATAAATACGGTAATTGTAACATATATTATGATACATGTAGGATATTTTAGACATGTTCTTTTGTTTACATGGTATGATCATTTTGTGTAGGAAAATTATTCATTCTCTTTTGATATTCTTTGAAAATTCTCTAAAATGTGCATACAACACAATCGTTGGACTGCCAGAGTCTATCTTGTACAAATACCTCATCTCAAAATTATGTATATATTTATGCAAATGCTCATATGTTTAACCTCATTTGAATTTCCGTCCTCGTGTTACAAAAGTTACTAAAACTTTCTAATGCTGTATTTCAAATTATACTTTGTGTCTTGTAACATATATATGACACCTGCATGTATCTGTTTGGAAACAAACCTCTATACATATGGTTTATGCACTGTTTACCATAAACAACAGTAACAATATATTGATTAAGCCCAGGATTTTTTTTTTTAAAGGGTATTTTCAAAATGTTCATTTTCCGTTTTTTTTTTAATTCAAGATTTAAAGAAGGAAAAAGAGTTTTAATCTTGTTAAAATGTATTATTTAATTGAGAGATATTTAAAACTGGGATTGTCTTTCCATGAAAATGTATTTATCCCAAAGTTCTTTTGCTTTTTCCTAGCATAACAAAATATCATCAATACCGGTATGTTATATAACTGTTTTAGACATAAAGAGAAAATGTTGTCTTTAGCTGTGTAACATTAGTTGACAGACACTAAGTTTACTTTTGTTTTAACAGAAAGCATACTAAGTCCTTTTCTTGTTGAATTTACATATTACATAGCAATAAAGTATGATAAAATCAGCCATAAACACAGCATAACAATAGCTTCGTTGTTAATGGAAATACCACTTTCCAGTAAATAGTACCAGTCTGGTGCTCTGAACTTTACAATATATTTAACTGGTATTTCTTGCATCAATAGAATGTGCTAAACTTCATTTTTATGATACAAGTCACGGTCATCAAACTTTGACATTGAAATGTAGGTCTCTCTGACCTATCTGTTAAGCTTAACTTCATGACTTTGATTAAAATGTATTTCTCTCATATCCGGTCATGTTAGATAACGCTGGCCATGTATACATGGGCGTGAAGTCACAATGGCTTGACAATGACGTGAAGTTACAAATTTGGAACTCTCCGATGTCGCAATACAAAAGGCGACGTGATGAAATTAAAAACCTTTAATGATATATTTACTGTGCATGTTAGAAAGTTGTGATTTATTTTCCTGCGCAAACTCTGTTTGCCAATATGGGTATGCTAAATCTGGCTGATCGATTTGTTTTCATCTAAAAAGCTCAGGGGGAAAAATTGATATTTTCAAAATAGTGGCCAGTCCAAACGCATTTCATGTGGTTGGAATGAGAGAAAAATACTCTTTCATGCCCAAGGGTGTAGGATAGGGAAATTCCACCCTCTGGGTTTTCAAATTTGGTGAAACCCTTGGGGAAATTCCACACTCAGCATTTTCAAACTTGACAAAACCCACGGCAAAGCCTTAGGTTTTTACGAAAACCCTGAGGGTGAAATTTCCCTATCCTACACCCCTGTGAATGAAAGAGTCTTATAGCCTGGCACAGATCTATCAAAGCTATATGTATGTTTTACAGATTTTTTCTAGTTCAAGCATGCATCTCAAAAGTGTTGTGACTCAAAACTGTGTCCATTTTCTTGTAAGATTGCTGTTGCTCTATTTCCTACTTGGTCAGAACACATTTCTTGCCAACCAGAGAGTGATGTCTCCACTTTCAATGGTGCTGTTACTTGTTAAGCCCTCAGGTTTGTAAAGCTGACGAATTGTTTACATCAACTATTCATGCTTAATTCTTGTCAAAAAAATGTTTCGTGTCCAATTTGTCAAAATGGCAGGAAAGAAAAAAGAATTTATCTTCATATTTATGTGTGGTGTAGACAGAAAAATGTCAACCATCAGAATAATATTTTTGAATCTAAAAAAACATTACGAGGCCTCGTTCTGGACACACAAAATTTGAACTCTAATACAATTATTTGGCCGCCCATAATGAAATCTCAGGAAATGACAATTAAAGAATAATATTTTCTAAATACGTTTAAAACATTAAGATATGGATATAGAGGCAGTGTCTGCCTGCATCCATTATTTATACTATTGTATCCTATATTGTGTTCGTACATTTTACCGAGATGTGCAAGGGGGCAAGTAAACTCACATGTACACTCATGTACCGTATTTGTTAATTAGTGCCCAGGGCACATGAAAGGTTGGCTGAAGGGGTGAACTAATGGGGCTTATAAGGAGAGAGGTGCAAAAATTGTGGCATATATGGTATATGGTAAGTCTGTAATAAACTTGTATAAATGAAAAGAACATACTGAGCTCAAGTGCATACAGTATTGTCATGTTTAGAGTAGCATTCCACTGACAAATGTTTTATACTATATTTATAGAATGTTTTCAATTAAAATCATTAAACCACTCGGAGCTGATTTTGTTGTATCTACCAAGTATAAAAATTGTTCCAACAAAAGAGAAAACTTTAATTGTATACTGATTAATTTATGAACTAATAATAACAACAACCTCCAGACACTCTATCAGCATCATTAACCATAATAAACTTTGGAGGATTGTATAAATATGTACTACTACTACCACCACTGCCAGTATATACATGTATGTAGGGCAGGCTAGAAGGAGTTCCTGGTGTTTTTCTATTGATTGTGATCCTTGGCCTGGTACTTCTTGCACAAATGTTTTGATGTGCACCAGTCTGCCTTCTCACTGTATCAGTCGTTGTAATCCATTGTTACTTTTAGCTCGCCTATTTGGTGATTACGGTTGCTATAATGTCGTCATCCTGGCGTCGGCATCCCAGTTCACAGAGGTTCAAGTTTTTTTCCAGTCAGAGTTGGATCATCACACTCAATACTCTGTTGTCTATTATAAGGTCAAAGTATTTACATGGAGTGTAAGCAATGTGGTGGACAATATTTTCATATTTTAGGGGCTAGAGCTGCTTAATTCGACTTGGTTGAAGTTTTTGGGCAAGTCTGCATGTGCAGAGTTGGATTGGTCACCACCATCACGAAGCTGCATGTGGACTATTTCACGTTGTCTGGTCATCTCTTCTTTTGAAATGTACAACATGTTAAGGTACAGAAAAACCTTGTTATATTGCCACCATTTGTTCAAAGAAATAATGGCATTAGTAAGGGGTTTGGCAATAAATTGAGGAAAACATACAATTAATTTGGAAAAAGATTATGTCTTCGTCTTGTTTCCTATAGAAATTGGTGGAGCTAACCTTTAATCCAGTTTCTGTGATATTGATATTAATGACTGAAATAGATTTCTGATGGAATAAAGCAAGCATTTAATCCAGTTTCTGTGATATTAATGACTGAAATAGATTTCTGATGGAATAAAGCTAGCATTTAATCAGTTTCTGTGATATTAATGACTGAAATAGATTTCTGATGGTAGAAAGATAAAAGTCAATCCAGTTTCTGTGATATTAGCGACTGAAATAGATTTCTGATGGAATAAACCTAGCATTTAATCCAGTTTCTGTGATATTAAAGACTGAAATAGATTTCTGATGAAAGAAAATTAATAGTCAATCCAGTTTCTGTGATATTAAAGACTGAAATAGATTTCTGATGAAAGAAAATTAATAGTCAATCCAGTTTCTGTGATATTAAAGACTGAAATAGATTTCTGATGAAAGAAAGTTAATAGTCAATCCAGTTTCTGTGATATTAGCGACCGAGAGATTTTAATGTTAAGTAACACATAGATTTCTGCAAGTTTAAGGACTCCTGCAGTCTTCCACAGGATTACTTCTCAGTATATGTTGTAACCTATAAGTACTGTACAGCTGTGTGGATAGCTTACGATGAAGCATCTTGATCAAATACCAGCTACAAGACGGATCAAAACCAACTTTCAATTCATATTACTCTTAACCAAAAAGTAATACTGGTGGCAAAAACTTAGCATTGATGTGTACTATGGATGTTTATAACTTATTCTGGACTTTCCAAATTTCAAACAGTGATCAAAATATCATGTACCAGTTCACACAAAAACAAGATGAATTTAACAGCAATAGTTTTGAAATCCCAGTACTTGTGTTAAATTCGAGTATGGCTTACTGACAATAGACTGCTGTGACTACACAAAACAACTCACTTTTGATGTCATTTGATGTCATTTGTTTTAATTTAGGAGAGTTGAACTTGTTTCAATCATTTTTCTACAATGTGAATTACAGGTCAACATACTTGAAAATGAAACAGGTAACGAAAATGAAAAAGCACAGAGGACAAACAAGCATCTTGTACAGTATAAGGTTCACATCAAATAGTTATAGTTCAGAAATTTTTGATTGGCCTTTTTCCTTTCCTATTCTGGTATGCTAAGAAATGGCAGTAAAAACGTGAAATAGTCCATACAATTGATATTTGTTCAGAAATGTCAACAATCACACAGATCAGGAATCATCGTCTGCCTCCAGGTTAATGTTATTGCCAAATTTAGCATACAGTTCCACTTTTAGGTCCTGTAGAATTTGTTTATGAACCTCACACTGGCTGTCAATCTCCTTCATCTCTTCTTGGACACGTAGTTTGGCCTTTTCCAACATCTCACCAGTGCTCTCCGCATTCAAGCTGACAAACACCTCTCCTATCTGGTATGTAAGGTTGAGTCAAGAGAAATAACACAAAAATATACATTGTAGGCATCATCTTACAGAAATTATGCAAAGAAGAATCTTGATAAAGATTTTTTACCATGACCCAATTAAAACTTGTTCTCTATGGTAAATTATACTTGGAAACCTTATAAATTACACAATTCCTTTACAAAAACTTGTATATATATCATTCCTTTTCAAATCTTTGATAATGTAATGTTACTACATGTAAGTACATGCAATTGGCATATTATTTTACAGGTTTATGTAATACATTTAATTTCATGTAGCCTACATTAATATATATATGTTTATCCATAACCATTCAAACATTCTGCAGGGCAACACTGTAACCTGAAGAGGATATAAATATCATGTACATAAAACCACAACAGTTCAAGTGATTTTTTGGACACAGACATTTTAATCCTGGACTCAAAATTTTCCTTTGGAAGTCACCCACTTTTTGAGAGCAAATATTTATCTTAGCAATGAGACTCATCAATATTTTTCTGTTCACTACGGACCGAGAAACTACGTATAAATAAAGGATATGGAATCGAGTCATCACCGTCCTCCAGCATTAAAATCTCGTCAGCAGCATCTTCCAGGTTCTGTAGCTCTTTCTGTCAAAATCAAAACGAAGGAAATGTTACGTCAGCAGAGGAATCTTGTACCCTATTTCACCTAGTATAAACCCAGGTCAATAACCTTAATGGTCCCTTGAAGAAAGAGGCCAACATAAACCCTGGGTACAGGAGCTACTTTCCAGATTCCAGATCTAGAGAGTACTTTTTGAAACAAGGGCTGATACACAAATATGACCAATGGGCTTATCATGGTTTTTTAATGAAACTCATTGTAGGAATAAAGATAAACTCATTGTAGGAATAAAGATGCTTCAGTCTAATATAATTTAACACATGTAGATAATACAATAATTTACTTTTGTATCGTACATTCACTATATGATTCAACCAAAACTGAAGTTATGTCACATGATTTAATTTGGCTTTACCATCATTTAATTTTATAGTGTAGAGTTGTATTGATTGTCAAACCAAACAGAGTTGCTTAACACGTACCAGATTTCCTTTTCTAAAAGACAATGTTTTTAAGTATAACGGTTAAAATGTCAAGTATGAATACTATACACAACAAACTTAACAGTAGATAGTCCTGTTTTGGGGTTCTGGTGATCACAATATTAATGCAGCTGTGATTACTGGGAAACTTTTGCCAGGCCAAACCTTCACAGGCAAAATCTATATTCGCCCAGCATTCATTTTTTTCTTATTATTACTATATAGGGTGTGCTGTGTACTGATATTTATTGTCATGATTAATTCACCCTCATTGTGGAGAGCGAGAAAAGCAAAAGTTTAACTGTGGTGAACATTTTCTAGTATGCAGTAGTACTAGTATAGATTACATTGGTGAACCAAAAGTTTATCATCATATTGTCTCGGATAGAAAATTATTAAAGCTCAAATGGTTGAGAAATGGACCAGCAGTCTATCTTCCTGAGGAGGCACTTGGATGAAGTGACAGGTCTGTGGTCGGGCGGCACAGTGTAAAAGCCCACATGCTTTTCACCAAGGCAGCAGGGGTTTGATTACCCGATCAGATGTGAAAAGGTATGGGTCACCTGCCTGACCACGTGGGTTTTCTCTGGGTACTCCGGTTTCCTCCCACATTACATAACATCCGGGCAAACAAGAGCGATTAAATAAGTTGAAATAACTTGTTTCAAAATTGTTGTAAAATAAATCAAGTTTATATTGGGGCAATTGTAATTTATAATTTACTCAGATCAGGATTAAAACTGAGAGTCTACTGGTCCTTATATATATTAACCAATATCAGATACATAAGTGATCGATAGGGACATGACTAATTATCATGAGACATATCTCCCAACTCTCACTGTGTAGGTGTGCTATACACAGTACACTTATATACAAGGGTGGGGTATCTGTGCCACCCCCCTTCTTGGGCCGCTCGGGGGTCCTATCACAGAGGCATGAGAAAGGGGGTTATTTACAGTGATAAGGTGTTGTTTTTGTTTTTTTGTGTGTGTGCAGGGTATAGATAAAAGGTAGAAGCTGGCGTGTGTTTTAGCGTGTGATTATCATGAGGGCTTCAAGGGCTGCATAGGGTATGTGTGCCTTGAAGTCCTCTTGTGTTGTGCATTGAACTGCTGCTATGGGAAGGAGATTCCTGCATTGTGTTATTGTGTGTAGAAAGAATGAATATTGTAGGTGTCCTTTGTAGCAGATATGTGTTTGTATGCGTAAGGGTGTGCATGTCTGCTTCGAGGGCCTAAGGGTGCAAGTATATGTGTTGGGTTTATAGCTACGATTTAATGTACAATTTTGTAAAAAAGGATCATTGTGTGAAAGCGTCGTGTTTGTAGTGTTGGCCATTGTAGTTTGTGGATCATGTCTGTTACTGAGCTGGTGTTGTGGTATCTGTTGTTTGCGTAGCGTGCTGCTCTTCGTTGTTTTTTTTCTATTTGTTTAATTTGGTTTGTATTGTGTGGATCCCAAATGGAAGAGCAGTATTCAAGTTTTGGTGCGACTAGTGCTTTGTATGCGTATTCTTTTATATGTGGCGAGTTTATTTTTAAGTTGTGTTTTAGAAAACCTAGGGACCTATTGGCATTGGCTGTAATGTTGTTTATGTTTGTTGTAGTGATCCATATGTTTAACTTTTGCAACAAACCTTCTTATTTTCCTCTTCGTCCCTTAGGTCCTGTAGCCGGGCATTATTGCGGGCAAATTTGTTGATTTTCTGTTGGTCCTGGTATGTAACCTGTGTGTCTGTATCCTGTAGAAATATATGCATTCACATGTACATCACATGAGGAAAACAAGTTTATCTGGTTACATTGGCATAAGCCACAGGAGCCCGAAAATGTCAAAAAATAATTATAACAGTAATACAATTTTTTTTTAACATTTTCAAGCATCTTATACTAGGTATTTTTAGCCCACCATCATCTGATGGTGGGCTATTCAAATCACCCTGCGTCCGTGGTCCGTCGTCTGTCCGTTGTCCGCCGTCAGTCGGCCGTCCGTAAACAATTTTTGTTATCGGTATTTCTCAAGAAGTACCTGAGGGATCTTTCTCAAATTTTATATGCAGGTTCCCCTTGGTCCTAAGATGTGCAGGGCAACTTTTGAGACTGATCGGATAAACAACATGGCCGACAGGCAGCCATCTTGGATTTTGATAGTGAAAGTTTGTTATCCCTATTTCTCAAGAAGTACTAAAGGGATCTTTCTCAAATTTTATATGTAGGTTCCCCTTGGTCCTAAGCTGTGCAGGGCAACTTTTGAGACTGATCGGATTAACAACATGGCCGACAGGCAGCCATCTTGGATTTTGATAGTGAAAGTTTGTTATCCCTATTTCTCAAGAAGTACTAGAGGGATCTTTCTCAAATTTTATATGTAGGTTCCCCTTGGTCCT